AACCAACCAAAAACAAACAAACAAACAAACAAACAAACAAACAAACAAACAAACAAACAAACAAACAAACAAAAACCCAACCCATAGACGATGTTATGAAGGAAAACAGAAATCACTGAATTGCATGATAGTGATAGAAGCGGTGTTGAGTTTTTTACATTCATTTGTACAATAGAAACTGTGCACATTGTACCAAACACAGATTATATGCTGTGCATAAAGCAAGCTCAGCACTAATCGCAGTTTGGCTATGATTTCCTTTGTCACTAATATATCAAATACATTACTCCATACATTTTAGACACGAGGAAGGTTACAATAGCAGCCTATCTTTGGTTGCTCCCATCCATCATCATCCCATAAAAATATAATTGCTAATACTTATCAAGCCTGCTATTGATGCATACAGGCTTATGACTGTTCATGTATTATATCTTAAAACAATGAGTCAAGTGAGTGAAACTAATACCTCAGATTAATAGATCTAGATAGGATTTTCTGATGTTTAATTAAGTAATTAAATATAACGGCGGGGCAAAATTGCTACGTTTAGATCGTATATTATTTAATGAAAGGTAGGCTTCGACCAGACCAGACTCCAAATCTTTTCGAATACTTTCTTAAAAACTTAGATCTGGATCTAATCTGTCTAAATTTTTATCAATCTCATTCTTACTAGTGAAAAGAAAGAGGGGTTCCTTTTGAGGCTTTCTTAGTGCATTGATAGACACATCAATGTTGCACCATCCTCCTTTCTGGTCTCATTTTCTTCAGTCTTCCATTTCCAGACTCAGATGTTTGCTGGTAATGACTTTACTGTGAGAAAGTCTCTAAGGCTGTACGGTAATCTCCGCCTAAACGCACGCCATACAAAAGCACGCTCCGCTCAAACGCACGCTTTCGCCATCTGACGAGTTTTTTTACTCCTCTAAACGCACGCTCCGATCCGCGAAACACGCCGACAAGTTAAGCTTGGCAAGGGGGAATTTTCACAACCTGCACAGCCTGCATTAGACAAGCTTAGAATTTACTAGAAAACCGGATATTTGGTGAGAGTGCCCCTCACGCCGGACAAAGAGAGTTATGGACTGCGTTTTCACACCCAACTTTCCACTGACGCACAGGTATCGGTCTAGGGGGCTGGTCGGTTAAATGTTGGGGGGGGGGGGGGGGGGGGGGGACTGAAAAGTTTTTTGATTGGTCACTGGAAATGTATGGAATTTCAGAGAAGGTTTCTGACTGGTGTTTGGGTGACTGCGTGTAATGTTTAGTTAGATCTAGATCTAGGCCTGATGCGCGACACGCATCGTAAAACCCTAGATAGCTTCTATAGGTTTAAAGATTAGCCAAGTAAGCCTAATAAGCTGCGCTCGAAGAATCACAAGAGAAAATGTTTCTCTAAACGTAGAGAATGATTCTGTATGAATTTATGGTCGTGGGTGGCCGCTTGGAAAGCTCTCTCTTAGGCTCTTTCTCTTAGGCTATCTGTTCCCGACGCTTGTACTTTGTAGTGCATATACATTACATTGAGTCTGTCTTTCTCCCCCCCCCCCCCACCCCTTCAACGCCTTTGTATTGTTAATTTTAACCTCTGTCGCGGAATCATTCACAAAACAGTCACGTGTGTCGTCACATTATCTGCCAAAATGACCCCCTCCTCCAAGGGAGGTCACTAGAGTAATAAGGAATTGAGATGACTGCGTCCCTTCCTCCCCTTGCAAAGGTTCATGTAAACGCACGCTCCGTATAAACACACGCTAAGGAGTAGGAGCCCTCCCGAGCACCGTGCGTTTAGGCGGAAGACGTGCGTCATGTTTTGCACTTTTTTAACAAGAATTTTCATGTCTTGTGAACGGAAAAATTGAAAACAGAACATATCAGTATCAGTAATTTGTTGAGTATTTGGAAAGAAAACAATAGACATCAGTCAGAAAAAAAAAACAACCAAAAAATATAATATCGTAACTTTCAGCTGTAGGTCTAGAATATCTATATCTAGACTAGAGGAAAGAAAAAAGAAAAAAAAAGGGACCTCTGATGCTGACACATCACTAAAACCAGGGACACCTGTCAAACATGAAACAGCAGACATGAGAACAACTTTTGATGGATTGAAAATAGAATATGCTCAAGGAACAAAAGCCCTAACCCATAACTATTAATCAAGATCGTCTAACAAGGGAAATAACCAACTTTTCACTTAAATGAGACTTATTACGTTGATTACATCCCTTTAGTCACATGGCGAGGCGTTAATTATTAAATTAATAATTATTGTTTTGTGAAAAATGAAAAAAAAAAATCGTGAAAAAACGCAGGGAATCCAAAATTATACAAATGTTGCAGAATTACGCAAAACCCCCCAAAAAACCGCGGCATCACAATCGCATAATCCTACGGGGACAGAGTAAAACGCTGAGGATACTTGTTAAATTGTTGGATGGTACTACATGTAAAGAATTCTACACTATTCATCATCGTACAGCTGCTCTTTTTCTGGTTTTAACTGTCTCAGATTTCCATACACTTTGTGTAGAATTCTGTGGATGGTACTGATTCTGTAATCTGCAGTCTAATTGTATCGATATCGTAAAAAAAAGTTTGCGGATCTAGATCTAACCCAAAATATTGTATTTTATGTAGCTAATAGGCTTAGACCTCTGCGGTAAGAGCCAGTATGTCTTTGACAGGTTGTGAAAATGCGCGTAAATTTTATTTTCACGACAGGTTAATGCGCGTAAATTTTCTTCACGACATGTCGTGAAAATACCGACTGCCTTGCAGTATTCTTTTTTTTAGTTTTAGAAATAGTAATAGTTTTACGGCCCTCGCAACTTCATAAGGTCATATGAGCGCGTGAAAAAAGGTTGGTTCTGTTCCCAACAGTACACTGCACAGCTTGATTTTGGTCAACACTTTTACATAAATGCTAAAAATTTGATGTAAATGAATTAATTTAAAACAATTTTTTAAATAACATTAAACATTTTGAACAATTCTATTCACAACTTCCCATAAAGGCCTACGGCCTTTACAAAATCCAGAATTCAGTTGGGACCAACAACGGAAAACATCTTGCAATTTTTCGCATCTGAAATATTTCCTTCGGGTCTCTATGGAGTCTAGACATTCTGTTAAAATGCGTCTAATGGTAAAATCTGAGTCACATCCGACGCAGAACGGCTTCTCATCTCCCTGAAGGAGGCATTTATGTGTGAGGGACGTGTGTCCGATGCGTAATCGAGTAAAAATGACTTCGTCTCTTCTGGAGAGGCCCGAAGGATTTCGCAGTCCCAGTTCGGCCTTAATGTTGTGAAGTTTGTTGTGTACTTGCTTTTTCCAATGAGTCTTCCACAGGCTGGAGGTGTAGTTTTTTTACTTTATTTTTAAAGTCAGTCTGTAGGAGAGTGTTCCTCGTTGATCCCTACAGAAGGGACAAGGATTCTTTCGCCAGGAGGTCCACCTGCTCATTCATTTCCTCGGAGGCCCACATGGCTAGGTAGCCATGCGAACACAATATTTTTCCTGGTTTCAGCCAAAGCCTGTATCTTTTGCTGTAATCTGACTACGAGGGAGAGTCAAAAGGTAAGGCAAGTTGTTCGGCATTTCGCTCAATTTGGCATCACATTATGTGAAATTCAGCTCACAAATACTTACACATGTACTTTTAAACTCAAACCGTTACGATTTAAGTTCCTTTGATTTTTGCCTGAATGGCGTCACATAAAAAAAGATGCCCCTTTGGAGGTCTGTCAGAGGCAAAGAGCAGTGATTGAATTTGAAACACTGTGACGACTGAAAGCGAGAATTCGACCTGTCATTCCAAAAATTTGGACACGGAAAGAGTTTTTTTTTTCACCATGACAATGCCCATCTGCATACGAGTACCGGAACAGGGGAGACGATCATCAAGCACGGATGAAAAACACTACTAAACCCAGCTTATTCTCCTGATTTGGCATCTTCAGACTTCCACCTTTTCGGTCCTAGAAAAGAACAATTGAGAGGCCAACACTACGGAAACGATGGAAAAATCAAGACTACTGTACCCCTACGACCAACCTGCTCAGTTTTACAAAGCTGGCACGTGTGGACTTAGTAAAAGGTGGACAGTGGCTATTGAACAAAATGGAGACTATGTTGATTATACAGATCTGGTCCTCAGATGCTCCCCTTCCATTTGAGGTATGATAGTAGCCACTGCGTGCTTTTGTCTTTTAGTTATCTTACAAACGAACTGGCTTTACTTTTTTACACCCCCCCCCCCTCGTATTTTTAATTTTTTGGGTGTAAGAGTGTGTAATTTGTAAGTGAAGTGATGCAAGACAGACAGTCTGATAGGATAAGGAAAGATTTGTTAGGAGAATTTTCTACGGTGATTAGCTCCCGAACGGGGTATTTTTCTATAAGTTCTTTGTATTCTGCTTTAAATGTTTTGGTGTTTGTGCTTGCTTTGGTGTGTGTGGTCAGCTGTAAGTCTGACACTTGCGCTTGGGCGGTTGAATCACGTGGAAATTGGAGACTGGTGTGATATAGGTGATTCTTTTACTGAAGGGTTGAAACACTTTGCAGCAATCTTTCAAATTTGGGATTTTAACATAAGGTCTATCAAAGGCTGTACTGCATATGGTGATCAAAAAGTAATTTTCGAAAATTTTGTCACTTAGGCGGTTGAATCACGCGGCTAGCGATATATATAATATCTATATATGCAACAGATACCACAGATTAAGATAAAAGACTGCAATACAAAAGAATTAAAATTTTGGGCTTTGCACATCCGCACAACTGGCAGATGAAATGAAAGTAGAACACAATACGTTGCAGGTAAGTGATCCTGAAATTGGAGCACTGGGATCAGCTGTTAGGATTAAGCAGGATAATGAAAGAATGCGGGGACAGGAACTATTTTATGGTTATAGTGTATACGAATTACATACAACATCCAAAGACAAAAACTTGAATTAACATATATAATACAATAACTAAAGACAAAGGTGGTGAGTGAAATTACTGATTTATTCTCCGACTCACAGAATATACAAAATGAAACTCATTTCATCCATGATTGATCAAAAAGAATTCAGACTTTTTGATATTCTCCACCTCAACTCACAATATCATGTACACTCTCAGTCTCAGTCACACAGGACAATGCAATTGGGAGTAAAATATAGAGATAACAGTCTAGCACACACATAGCCAACAGATTTTCAGGTCCCGAATTGTTTTTGCACATGTATTTCTTTGTAATTAAAACATGTACAAACTGAAATTTGCACTTGAAAAAAATTTCAGTGCAGCGTGGATTTTGCTAGGTGCGTGCTAGACTGTAATTATTATACATCAGTAGTAATAGCATGGGTGAAATACAGGTCATCACGTCTCATCTACTTTCTGTTTTTTTGACTCATCACCCGCATCTGTGCCATTGGCGACCGGTCCTTTCCTTTTTAGACCCTTCAGCTTCCTGGCCTGAAGCTTGGCAAAGTCTTGTGTGTTCATGTGGATTCTGCCCAGCTTGTTACCCAGGTCATCATGAGAAACATTCTTTTTCTTCTTTGGCTGAGGAAAGGAAAAAAATATGACTTTTAAAAAAAGTTATCATATTACCTTCACCTCCACTTAGTTTTTTTTAGTGAAGTCTTCGTAACACTTTCACGGCACTTACAATACAATTAGGTCATATAAGAGCCCAAGATTAATGCAGAGTAACATACAAAGAAAAGAAAAAGGAGAGAAAACGACAAAAGATTTTTTTATAGGAAAGAAAGAACAAACCACACCAGAGCACCCACAAAACACCCGCACTTAAACCTGACAGTACATGTTTTATATCCACTTAGACACGATTTTGATCATTTAAGAAGCAGGCTTCTTTGAGCCCACATGCCAGGGCCAACTCACGTCACACTGAGTGGGACACGGTATCCCAGCAGCAGAAAGGTGGAATCACTCCAAAAAATAGATTTCTCCTCTTGGTAAGGAACATTATTTTCAGGCATCAGCAAAGAGTATATCAATGAAAAAAAAAGACCCCCACACTGTAAAAAAGAATTAATATAACTTTTCCAATTACCGCGGAAACCTGATATAACAGGGACGGTGGACCAGAAAAAAGTCCTGTTATATCAAATCCCTGTTAAATCAGAAAGGCAAGGGAAGTAAGCATTTGTGGACTAGTCCAGCTGTATTTATTCATGGATAGTTTCCCTTGCCAAGTACCCATGAACAGGGGTTTTGGCCATGCAGCAGTCCTGCGAATGACACATTACGTGTGCGTGTAGCTAGGCTTAAGGTTAGATCGAAGTCTGCAGCACACCGCGGCCCTCCCTCGTTTCACCCGCTGTGTGTGCTTGCAGTGGCGTGGCTTGCGTGGACTTGCTCCATCAGTGCCTTACTCTCTCTCTCCCCCTCTCCCTTACTTTTTACACATTGCTAACGAGCCTTTGTCCCTGCTATAACCGATTTTAACATTTAAGTCAATGGAGACGGTTCACGCAACATTTGCCAGCACCAATATTTCCCAGAGAGGCGGTTCACGCAACCCCTGTGAGCACAAGTTTCACGTATTCTCCTCGGCAAAGTACGCGCATGAACATTCTCTTACCGTATTGCTGACCTTTGTTTCTTTCGTGCGAAGGTTCACCGTAACTGGCTGGAAACTTTTTGAATTATCGACCCGGGAGGAAAGTCAGTCCCACTGAGTGTCTCAAACTGGTGTCTGTTCTCGCAATACTTTGTCAGTACAATATGGCTTGCTTGATTGATTGATTGATTGAGTAGGTGTTTTACGGCACTATCGACTCAATTTTGGTCAAGTACGATGGCACCATGTTTAGTTTTAGTAAGTTTTACTGCATTTGCAAGACAAAAACGTAGTAGATTAGGTGTTACAAGAGGGTAACAAACACAAAGAAAGAAAAAAGAGAGATTAGGACGATAGATCTTCGATAGGAAAGAAAGAGCAAACCACATCAGAGCACCCGCCAACCACCCACAAGGTAGCGCTTTGGCAGTTCAGAAAATTCTGATTATATTTCAGACCATGGGGGACCCTGATTTCAATGTAAACGAGCATCAAAGCACTGATTCTGATAGCGAATATTCTAGATCCCGACTAGGAAAAATTCCGCTTTGTCTGGAGCCCTGTTTTTTTCCACTGAAGTGGATTAGACAGCTAATACAATACATGAGGATTACCATATCGATTACCTGCTTATTCATGAGTTTGGATTTGTATTCATTTTGAAACCCAAAACACAATAAAAGATACACATAAGATAAATTTTGGGGGGGGGGGGGGGGTGTTGTTGTGTTTTTTTTAACATGACATTAGGTCAAAAATTTTTGGTGAGCAACAAATTTTAGCTCATTTTCAAAAAATCATTTCTAAAAAACTATAAAAGATATTGCCTTTCTGTTTTTTTGTGTCATATTGGGCATGTTATGTGTGTAATAATTGTGGTTGTATGTCTTTGGGAAGGGTGTTGTTTGAAATATTGAAATACCCCCCAAAACGCCCATCTTCAGCGTATGTAGACCTGAAAAAGACCCAGTCTCCAGTGAGTTAATAGAGGCAAAGAGTAGGAAAAAAAAGGGGATATAAAAAATCCCTGTTATTACCGGGCCTGTTATATATGGTTTCCACTGTATTTCAACATTCAGTTGAGTCCGTGTAAATTGAAATATGTGGAACCAGTGGATTTTCTTCAGTTTAGCAAGACTGCTCAAATAGAAGAGAGAAAAAAATTGTCTACTCTATTTTCTTTCGGATCACAGTTGTTTTTGGATTAACCAAGTTCGGTTTAAGCCGACTCAGCTGTAGGCTACATATTGCCCTTAGAGGGTATAAAACAAAAACCGGTGAGTAAGTAGCCTTTAATCCTACTGCATGCTGCCCACACATACCTTGGCTGTGGCTGGTTTCTTCAAGGCCCTCTTGAACAAGTCGTCAGAAGCAAGTCGCGTCCTCCTCAAGGATAGATCTAACGATGGTCCCATAGACTGCAGTTCCACACGAGGAGTCTTCGATCCTGACTTTTTCATGAGGACCCTGGAGATGTCATATAATCCTATTCAACTCATCGAAACGAAAGAAGTTACAAAGCAGAATCAACTTGGCTTCGAGAAAGAATTTTTTTGGGGGGGGGGGGGGGGGGGGGCATGGCTATTCACTAACTAGGCTCGATCCTTCTGAGACCGACATTTAATTGAGAGGTACCAACTGCTTCCAAGGCATAACAGTACAATGGACTCAGATTCAACGACGTCGCCAGGCCTGACCTAAAATCTCGTTGAATCCGAGTGTTCGTTATAGCAAAAATGAGGTTTTGTGTAGATAATTACAGGCACTGAGCAAGTAATGTATAAAGAGAAGTAACAAATGGTGCCGGAAATGCCTGAATATTATGAGCTGTGCAAAAAACAAAAAAAAACACCAATTTGTTCAAATGCACGCCAGTGTCATCTCCATTGTTTGCCAAAAAGTTGTGTTGCTGTGTAGAGCCTACCCTAGCATACAACAACTTTAGATTCCATAGACCAGCGTACAATTCATTACGTAGATCTACATCAAGACTAGCTTTTCATTGTAATAATGATCAGTTGCTGGGGAAAAAAAAGAATGACGCGTTTGTAAATTTGACGTTCCAAGCCCCGACTGCTGGTGTCCCCCGACACCCACACACAGTCACATGAGTGCAGGCCGCCCATCCGCTGATTGGTTGCATGCAACTGGCTGAGTGAATAATGGCTCACCGTCCCGATGCAGGTGCAATGGATGCTTTCCCTCAAGAGATCAAGTCCGTTGCGGTAGAAAAAAATGAGCGAAGCCACGTCTGCGGGTACTTTTCATCCTGGAAGTGACCTCGTTGAATCCGAGCTTGCTGATTTAAGTGCTCGTTGAATCCGGGTTATTTTTATTGATTTTAAAGAAGATAAAAAACGGGGAATCCATCTCCTCTCATTGAATCCGAGTTCCACTGTACTGGAAGAGGTGTAGAGCCCGTAGCTAACAACAGTATAGAACACACATAACAAACAGATTTTCAGGCCCAGAAGTTTTCTTTAACAACACCTGAAATTTTTACATATCGAAGAGATTTCTGCATCCCAGTGGTTTTACTCCGCGCTTGCTAGATTGTATACATTCCTGTCTGTAGTGTTCTTTCATTGCGAAGAGGAAAACATGATAGTGCTGTCAAAAATGCATGGCGCAACTTATTGTCAAATATCTCCTTAACTATCAAACATACAGACTTCAACAAGTTAAGGACCACCTTGATAGACAATCCTAATTTTTTTAAAATCTGAAAAAAAGACAGCAAGGAATGTTTCTAAATTTTTGCTCTGAGAGTGTTGTGTCATACTCTGTCCTTGTCCCCCTAGATCACTGGATCAGTCCAAAAACGCCCACCTGCAGGTCGACCCAAGAAGACCACTCAGAGTGTTTGCAAGTGGTCCCTAACTTTTGTTGAAGTCTGTAGATTCTCTAACTTTTGCACACTGACTTTAATCAATGTGTCTTGACATGTGAGTATGTTTTCAAATACTACACACTGTATTCTAGAAAATTCATTAGTAAACACTAATAAAGATGGTTTCCACAATTTTAATAAGTTTACAGCTCGTCCAACATCGCTTTTAAAAGCAAGTCTGTCATTTAAAAAAAATCGTAACATTATGCTATTGAAAGTATGTTGAGACTACCATTAGTGCAAAAAACTGTGTTCACTATAAAATTAATTTCCTGTGAGAAGCTTTGCCACTAAAAAGTGTCATTGGTAAGCTGTGACGTAGGCCATATGCGTAAGCAAAACGTGTGCGAGAAGAGCTGTGAACAATCCTATTTTCCGTGTGATTGAGATTTATAGCATTTTATATAAATTTAAGAAGAAAAGTTTTTTAATTGAGCCTCAGTTGTGGAAAAATGTAATTAAGTTAAGACAAATTGATACAAACTGATGTGCAAAGTATGGGTGACATTGATTCACCTGGTAAAGAGATATTTGAAGATAAGGTAGCCACAATTTTTTGACAGCACTATAGTAGAGCTTTTCAGCTTCACACAAAATCATTTGTACACCAGGTAGTGAAAAGATCTAACTAATATATTCAAGAAACATCTGTTACCAAAGGAAGCAATGAATAATCATCTTTTTTTTAAAACTAAAAACGTACAGTACACACAAAATACACATTGATTTACTAACATGTTAGAAAAATTAATTTTAAAATTACCTAAAATTGCGGATATAAACTTTTCCATTTGCTCCATGAATTGACATAACATGCTCAAGGCCTGAGAGGCTGACGTTGTCCACTGTCGGCCCTCGGAAGAAATCTGAAAGCATATCATCAAACAGCATGAATGTGACAGTTTTCTCCTCTGTACAGTAACAATAGTCAAGCTGGCCACTGAAGATGTCTTGACAGACAATTGCTTAACAAACAGAAGCCATAGATATCATCGCCATTTTGTGAAATTAAACAAAACTGCATTTGCAAACAATAAGACACCAATAAGACACAACTAATACGGGTGTAACAGAAAACAAACCAATACTGAGAATAATGGCTGACAGTTTCCACTTCTTTTTTGCTTGAAAACGACATAAATATCTGGATTTTGTTGATATTCTGTTTTCTGGAAATGAATTCCCAGATATCCGTTTATTTATTTTCAGTGAAAATAATGTAAGTAATAGCAAAAATATAGAAAAATTACATCCCTGAGAAACTGCTATCTTGAATGCAAATGTCTTACTTTTCTCTTCCTTCAAGGACTATTTTCCTTTCAAACTGCAGTCATATTGAGAGGATTAGAAGCCGTGTCTTAAAATGATCTATTCTGATTCAGAAACCTTTTATAAAATATTTTTAACTTCGGCCAAACTAAAAATAACAATTCAAATAATACAACAAGAATAAAATCTTGTGAAACAAACCTAATAACAAGTTCTTGACTCTGCGGTTGTCATCGTTTTCCTCAAAGAGATCACCAGAAAAGACGAGACATGGTTTGATCCCCATCGAAGCCTTTTGGCCCTGATGATAGAAAAAAGGCGACCACTTGTCAAGCATGCCTTTGTCATTAAGGCTCAGGTAACTAATCTCTAAAGTAAATGAATGACAGTATAAGCTCATTTACTATGTATTGTTCTATACTATTACACTTAATAAGACTAGATAATTCTGTGCCATAGAGGATGAATTAAAGGCGTCAGCTGAATCGTAACTATTTAATGTGATGTTTCCCTTTGAAAATCAAAGGAGCGGTTTGTCTTTTCCTTTTTAGATTTGACCAATCACCATGGCCTTGTTCGACGTTGGTGAGCCGTTCCTTGCCACAACAGGCGTTCATCTTCCCTGATCTCTACAATCATAACTTTACAATTCTAAATCACGATCATATCACAATTTGCATTCTTTAATCAGTGAAATTCAGAGACATCATTTTTTTAACAGGAATAAAGCCTGAGATGACAACTCTCCTGAGAACTTGGAATGCATACTGTGCCTTTAGATTTGATGGAGTATCACTGCTGCTGGACGTATATATAGTACCCAATGGCCTGGTAATGTCTACAGCATTCTGTTCCCAGAAGTTCAACAGAATATTATGTGAGGCATTACAGCAACAGAGCTACAACATGAATCCAACCTTGCGTGGGTTCCCTCATTAGATGGTAAAATGCCCATTCAGTTACTGTAACAATTATATCATTAACCATTTACCTCTTTAGAAGCTGTCCTGATTCATGCCTTGAATGCTTACAACAAGGGAAATAATCCCCTAAAAGCACCATGTTAATAAAAACCAATTTAAAACAATTTTAATGTAAAAAATATGAGGGGAAACCCCCCCCCCCCCCACAAACTATTTAATTATGCATGGAAAAGAACACTAGTTCCTGCTATGATGCAGTATGAGCAAGTAATGTATGTCTTCCTCTGTAGTTGTGACTACTAGTTTTCATTTCACGACCTCAGTGCTTTCTTGTCTTATCTCCATTTTTAATAACTTGAACCTATTCAGATAGTGCTTTGTCTAATGAAAGAACTCCCAGTAAAAGAGACCTGTTTTTAGTATTTATCTAAAACTAATTTGATGTTGAAGTCGTAAAAGAATGTGTCTGAGCCGCTGCCAAGGCTTACAGGCACTGTAGTTCTGACCACGAGCCGCTGGTAGAGGCTTGAAGGAGATAAGGAGTTAATGTTATGCAGCGTTCCCAAAAATTTTTCCCTGTGACTTATGTCCCTGATTTTCTGTTTTCAATAAGTTTAGTTTAGGAAAGAAAGTAAAAATACATTCACTGAAATTGTGCATTCAGTCTAAGATAACATTATCTCATGAAAAGACTGATATGCCAAACTGTATTTACAAAAGACAAATCTCCCTCTCCTTACCTCCACATCTTTCATTGACACAAACTTGTCAATACCAAACTCTGCCATGTCCAGGACCTGGCTATCATAAAGTCTTCCTGTAAGAAAAATACAACATGTTGCTTGTACAAATATGTGAAGTCATTTCGATCTCATACATACGAACTGCCATGCAGGGAAATATATTGAAAGTGGTTAACACGAACATAAGGGGGAATCACTGGAAAACTTCAGCTGTAACTGTAAGAAGCGTGTAATGAACAGAGAATTTGAACAAAGACATTACAACACCCTTGAAATTCACTTAAAAAGACTAAAATTCAGTCAGGTCCTTTAAATTTTGACCCATCAATTAAAATAATAGCTTGCAAATATGCCTAACTATAATTTACAAAAAAATTCTAATCCAGACAAACACCATTTTTCTCTAGTGCAGGCTGATGACAAATCTTAAAAAACGTTGTTGTCACAAGAGTTGACAAAATTATACTCAGGAAGGGCTGATCAACATGAAAGTTGTAAGGAGAGAGGTAATGAAAAGCTATGGTTTAAAAAATCTACAATATTTTATGCAGAGGAAAGAACAACAACAAAATGAGAAGTTTAGTTTTAGTTTTAGTAGAGATTTTATGGGGCTCGCAACTGCATAAGGTCATATGAGCGCCAAGGGGTGGATGTCAACAGAGAAGTCCTTACAGGGAATCAGACTTACTCTGCTCACCTCTCTAGCTTCATCGGCACAAATTCTGCTTCGACTATCAAGGCACCTGGGAAATAGCGGGTCACAAGAGTGTGACAAACATACAAAAGAAGAAGAGGAAAATGACGATAGTAAGGATTAGGAAAGAAAAAGCAGCAGTTCCCTGTTGTAGTTCAGGCACAGTTATGAGCATGACATAGTTGGATCAGCCCATTTACAATTTTAATATGCATTAGAACGAGAAATGTCCCCCCTTTGGATATGGCCAAAAGACACTTCAGTCAGTGGCACCGCCCCGGGAGGTCAAAATGAGAAGAAAAGTACCAGTAACATAAGACTTAAAAAACTCAGGAATATACTGTATCATGACAGTACGACAAGCTGACAAAGAAACAAATAGTAGTCTTAAAAACGGGTGCTCTATAACCTCTTACCAATGACTAAATTATTTGGCCTCTTTTTTGAGTGGCAGCCATACATGAACAGAGAGCTGTCTGACTTGGATGTGAAGAACTCCTGCAATAAGCAAAAGAAGAAAGTTGAAGGATTTTTTTAAAAGCCCAAGATTTAGCACACAACATTTCATTTGCAAACGAGCTTGGAAGGATGGCCCAGGACAGAGATAAAAGGAATGAGTTTGTATGTGGCCTATACCCTGTCAAGGGTGAAAGGCATTGATGGTGATGAATCATTTGCTGTTACTTTCTGGCTTTTATAGAAAAACCAAACATATTTCCACTGAATTAAAAGTTGCAAAAATATTAAGAACAATGTTTATGATAAAAACATGTTGCTCTACCCCATTAATAACACTTTATACTGCCCCCCCCCCCCTCCCCTCAAATGCACACCCAGTCATTTTTTTTTTTTAAAGGTGTTTTTATGCTCCCATTGTCACATAAAATTGCGAGGGAACAATAACAATAAAAAGGGAGGATAAAATCCTTACATACCACCACCCACTGTTATGGACCACTTAACATTGATTTCCTGGTTCGCACTTTAAAAACTAGATGTGGGGATCAATAAAAGGGAGGCATATCTCAGTCAGCAATAAATTTGAAGTTTAACAATCCAAATCATTGATTTACAAAGATGAACCCTTTCTAATGCAGGATTTGCTATTAAAATTTATGTAATACATAAATATAATATTCTTCCTAATGAACCCAGCAAATAACTTGCTAAATAATGACAGTTTTCAGAGTAGACAGAATAATAATAATAATAAATAGCATTTGCATAACGCATTACCCCGCTCTACAGCAAGCTCCATGCGTTAATTTACATTATATTATTACCCCAGCAGACAATAGAACACTCAAAAATATTCTCAGCTTCCCGGGAAGCATACAGAGCAAGCAGCTGATTAAGAGCTTAAACACTAACAAACTGACAAGATCTTTCACTGTCTATAGCTGGGCAAGATCTTTCACTGTCTATAGCTGGGTATCCATTCCAACCTGGGTGAAGTTAGGAACACTTTCCAAAGGACACAACGTCCGGTCGAACCCACGACCTTACAGATGCGAGTCTGAGAGCCTAACCACTAGGCTACCGAAGCCACAAAATAAAGAAGATTGACAGAAGCAATGTTTCTTGAAAGCTCGGAAAGATACAAATACAGTAGGCTATATATGTGTAACAAATAAAAAAAACAACAACCCCAAAACTAAATAGTTGAAATATTAATGTCAACTTACCACTGTGGATTGATCTTCAAATGGACGAGTTGCATTTTTTCTGTTCGAGAAAAAAAAAAAAGGAATGATAGGTAATAGGCCTACTTGTTATAAAACTCTGAGGAGCAAACAGTTGGTTAGTCGTAGGGTGGCCAAACAATGACACGTGCTGTAGTCATGAACCACCATGTTTTGATTAGACAACACTCCCAATCAAAATTAATTCAGACACTGGCAGGCCACTCCTGGGGGGCTCTCGTGGCCTAGAGGTTAAGGTGTTGGCCTCTCATTCAAAGGTCCCGGGTTCGATTCCGGGTAGCGACCAAAAAATTTTCTTCTCTAAAATTGTCTCCTTTCACATCCTTTCCTGATCTCTAACAATGTTCTGTTGTCTGCTTTCATTTCCACTTTCTGCCCCCACCCCCTCACCTCCTTTGCCCCCTCCTCTGGGCTCCTGACTCTTTCTGCAGCCTTTCTACTGTTACTCCTTGGCTCCTCCTAACTGCTGTCTTTCTGCCACACCCCTGATCTTCTGGTAGGAAAGATCTACACCAAGCCTTCTCGGACAAGGGCGAAAAATCTCGGAGGGCCCGTGTGCAGGTTGCGCACGTTAAAGATCCCTTGGTGGTCTAAAATCGATAAGAGTAGGCTTCGGCCGCCACCCAGGCAAAATTCAAAATTTCCTACCAACGAAAAAGTATTAGGTGTGTCCCGCGCGCTCATTTGACCTTATGCAGTTGCGAGCGCCGTAAAACCCTATACTAAACAAACAAACAAACAAGGCCACTCCTTTTTAAGGGACCTCAACATGGCACGATGTCAAGGTAAAAACATCTCCTTGGGAAAAGTCCTAACATCTGTGCAGCTTATTGGGCATGTGAACATCAATGTTTATCAAACATAGACCAGACAAACCTTAGTCTTATCAAAGATTCCGATGATAACTACAATAAGATCAATGATGAACTTTGAAAAAGGATGAAACTTTAATAAAAGTACACACAGCTAGTTCTCTCAGACATTATCTTTAGTTTTTAGTTTTAGTAGAGGTTTTAAAAAAAAAAATTAGTAGAGGGTTTTACGGCGCTCGCAACTGCAAAAGATCATATGAGCGCCAAGGGGTGGGTGTCAACAAAGAAGTCTTTATAGGGAATCAGACTTAGACTGCTCACCTCTCTAGCTTTAAAAGCACAAAGTCTGCTTCGACTATCAAGGCACCTCGGAAATAGTGGGTCCCAAGAGTGTGACAAACATACAAAAGAAGTAGAGGAAAAATGACAAAAGTAAGGATTAGGAAAGAAAAAGCAGCAATTCCCTGTAGAAGATCAGGCACAGTCTTGAGCGTGACATTGATGAATCAGCCCATTTACAATTCTACTGTGCATGAATGAGAAATGTCCCCCCCTTTGGGAATGGCCTAAAGACATTTCAGTCAGTGGCACCGCCCCGGGGGGTAAGACATTATCTGTGCACCATAACAAACCAAGCACAGCCAAAGGGAGAGGGAGACAGAGAAAGAGAGCGGGGGGAGGGAAGAGATGAAAGAGTGGAGAGAGAGAGAGAGAGAATACCTTAACATTTTTCCATCACAAGGCTCATAATATAGTAAAAACCTTTGCCATCAAAGGCAAAGGCATTTTGGAGAAAATCCAAAGAAACTGGGTGGAAAACATCACCGATTCGGCGAGATGTGACGGCAAAATGTTAAAACATTAAAGCCAATAAAAAACAAAAGAAGTCTCAGTCGGTTTAGATGCACATGTCTGTAAGTATCTGGATATAAGGGACAGCAAAGAGTCAAATTTAATCATTTGTTGTACCTCTCTTCGTAAAGCAATGTGTATTTAAAAAAAAAATATTACTTACTTGCCAAACATTGTGGCATGGGGCTTCTTCAATGTGTGCTGAAAAGAAACAAATGTTACTTCTTTATCAAGATGACAACTACAACAGATGGATATTGCAGTACGTACGATAAATTTTAGTAAAGCAACAAAATGATTTGAAAATGGGTGACATCTCTTGACATTAAACGCTAGTAAGGATTAAGGAGCAAAGGTTATTTTATATCCATCCATTTCAAACAATTCTTTTCTGGCATTTTAATTCCCTGTGTGCAACCATTACGTTAATTATCAAGCAACAGGTAGTTCAGCTTGTAAAATTTAAAAAAGGAGCTCAGAAAAAAACGGTAATCACCAAGATTAGGAAGCTAGTTGAGTGACACAAACAACAGACAAATAAATAGGAGGAAAGAAAACCACCAGCAGTAACCAGGGATTAAAAAAAGAAAAGAGTTTATACTATCACAAATAACCTGAAAAGAGGCAGAAAGAGAAAGAAAGAGACATTAGCAAGATGCATACACATCCAAAAAGAAGAGGTAGACTGAACAAATACTCCTCACTTGTAAGTTTCTCTTAAAATCCTTGTTACTTCAAATGTGAAAACTGAGACAATTTATTATTGCTTTACCATTTCTTTCAATACTTGCGTCACAGTTTGACTTGTATTGCCTCCTTTGAAGAAAAGAGTAGACTTAGAGTTCTCAAATATTTTTGGCTCCTTTCTTTCCAAAGCCCTCCTCCCTCTTTGTGTCTTGGGTTTTCTGTTGAGGATACAAAAAAAAAAAGCATGTAAGAACTAAGAAAAGAAAATAAGCCTTCCAAAAAAGAAGAGAAAGTGACCTTCACTCGGTTTGTTACACAAAACTTTCCAGTACCTGTACTGTACTAATGGTGGGCAGAATCCGGATCATCTTTCAAAATACAATCAGATATAATTCTCAATGAAGAGTTATCTGGATTCAGACTCCTGACTCTCTTTCCTAGCCCATTTGTAGAAGTGGTTCTAACCCATTTGCCCAAGCAGTACATAACCCATTTTCTGAAGAGGATCAGACACTCTAAACCTGTATGCACAAGACCTGTTTTTCCTCATTTTGGAATACTGTCTATTGGTGTGGATGATCAAAATGATAAAAGCCAAGAAAAAATTACGTTATAGCACAAAAGTAAGCTAATTTGATCGTCTTCAAAGATGCTATGGCTATTTCACTTTTCGAATTGAGCCGAACTACAGACTACGCGGGTCGCCTTTTTGTTTTGCCCGGAAGTTCTCGCAAGATCTACTCCTCCCCTCTCTCTCTCTGAATACTGTATATCGGTGTGGATGATCAAATTGACCAAAACAAAGTTTAAAAATGATGTTAAAACAGAAAAATAAATTAATTTGGTTGTCAACAAAGACGCTACTGCTATAAAATTTAACTTTCCGAATCGAGCCGAACTACGCGGGTCGCCATTTTATTTTGCCCGGAAGTTCTCGCGCTACTCCTGTCTCTCTCTCTCCACTGCTCACAGACAAAATTGCACGCTTTTGTCTTTTAGGCTAACACTAACAGTAGTAATAGATCTAGTAATAGATCTAGATCTATATCTATAATCTAGATCTAGATCTAGATCTATATCTAATCTAGATCTAGATCTAGATCTAGACTAGATCTAGATTCTAGATCTAAATCTAGATTAGATCTAGAACGTTTGTTCACAGCACAGAATTCTATAATTCTGTTATCACAGTGTAGAATTCTGTGGTACAGGGTGAACGCTTCACTGGTTGGCCTAGGCTATAACGGTGAACGCCCACCGGGTAAGAATAGCCAAAAGACTCGCCTGCGAAGTGGCCTTCCCAAAGAACATACAATCATACAACCACCATGAATGTAATGTAGCTCTAGATCTAGATCTATGCTCATATAAGGGGGGTGGGAACTACCGAAAAAGCACCCTGTAATTAGCCTATCTAGATCTAGAGCTACCATAAAATATTCACTTGGCTTGGTTGTTGAGACTGAGACAGACTGAGTCCGAGTTGACTGAGTAGGCTACGGCTACTGAGACGACTGAGTATCACTGAGAATCAAATTCAATCAATACGATATCCTACGAGTGGATTAAAATGCTGTTCTTGTGACAACATAAATACTCACACAATCCTCTGCATCTTTGGTCCTTTCTCTTCTTGGCTGACAGGAACACACTTGTTTCAAAAGCCTAACATTTAGATAATAAAGACAGTGCACGGATAAACAATCATGCTCTCTCTTCGCCACGCTGATTTATTTGTTGTTTCACTTTCCTTTCGCAATTTCCTACTTCCGCCCAATCTTTAAGAGTCACGTCCCTTACTTTTTCGTGGCGTTGCTACTTGGTCTTTTTCGTTGTTTTTTTTCTTGGTCAAGGTCTCAGCATTAAAACTCTCTGGGTCTTAGACAGCTGCACTAGCGTTTTAAATTCAAAATTGTTACTTCCAGGCAAAACTAAGAAATTATTCTAGTTGTTTTTACTTATAGCGCCAGGGGTTTTAACCACTGGCATTCAAACTAAGATAAGCACCACTATCTGACTTACACCAGCAAAAACGAACACTCACGAAGGCTCAACAACACACTCACACACCCCTCCCACCCCGACAAAACCCAAGGAATTTTTTTTAAAGGAAAAAAAACATACATGGAAGAAGCAAGGTAGATCTATTTCTTTTTCTGGTTTTATTTTGTGACTTTTTTTTTTTTTTTTGCAGTTTCTGGTTGATTTTGTGTATGTTTGTTTCTTATTTATTCTTTTTATGTTATTAAGTGTTGTTTTGATGAAATTATCTAAACTTATGTGCGCTGTTTGGCATAAAATTCGCATTAAACAAAACAAGAACAAAACAAAACACCCTTCTCCCCCTCCAAAAAATAACCACCGCCTTCCCAACCACCACCACCAATAAAAACACCAAAAGCTATAATATTGAACGCACGTTTATTGTTAGGTTATGTCTATTGTTACAATTACTGTTATGGACAAGAACATTCTTCACTGTTCATTCAATTTTATAAACAAGGAGGTCTCGATGACTATTTATAGAGTCAAACGTCTCCCTAGCTTGATTTGTCACCACTGGTATATAACGCATTCCAATGATCACACATATAAAGCCCTGCGAAGTCATAAAATATGTTTTCACATGCACATAAGCACTGGACTGAGGACGCAATTATTGATCAGCGCACTTTTAGGTCCCAGAGTTTGTTACAGTTACCGAAAAAACATGCCCGTATCCATAACTACGTTGGGGTTAAATGGTGCAGTTGGATATTATCTTTTATATATCAATTAATGCACAGGTTAACTGTGGTGGTGGGTGGAACAAAATTTGGGAGGGGTTTAAGTTGCTTCGACTTTTTTACCACTAAATAAATTGCAAGCAATAAGAACAAAACAGTAGGGTAATGCTTTTTCTATACTCACGGCGAGCCACAGCATTTTGAGAACCTTTCAAACGAGAAGAGTCACCTACTTTGTTTGTCTTCCATATCTTTGATCTACGTTAAATTCTTCTGGATGGTGGGGACGAAGCCATTTCACCTCCAAATTTCTCTAATTAATTTTCATCTGATGAAAAGTTGCCTCAAAAGTGGTTTTGATGTAGATCTAATTAATAACTGTTAAATCTCAGAGGTACACACACAAACACCAAGCATGTACACACAGCATTCCAAACATCGTTTACAAACTGGATTAGGCCGTGTAGTTGCGGGAAGTAGAACGCACCTGACAAAGGCCCAATGGGTGCATAGGTAACAGCCTTGGAGTAACTATTGATTACTCCAAGGTAACAGCAGTGTCACTGGGGGAAAGTGTGTCATAAACTTTCACCCCATTGTTAAGGCTAGGAGAGCGTGAGCCCTGTGTGCAGTGTTGTATTTTCAATTGTTCTACCTTTTTACAAGAGGGGATTCATTAAGGAGGGGTCGTGGGAATGGGCTCGTCCTTTGCTGAGCCCTAAAGACATTTGGTTGGCTATTGGGTTTCTAAAGATGTAAGAGGTGACAATAGTGATTGGATAAACGATCAAGCCGCCAAGTTGATCAAAATGTGTTCATTGTGTGCGATCATAACAGTTCCAACTGCTCATTTAGTTATTTCCATTTGTTTTGGGATAGGGTTGAAAGGGGGGGGGGGGTTGCTCAAGCCCGTCCTTCACTACCCACCGCCACTGCGGTTTAGATTAAATGAACGAGCTCTGCCATATCCTAAACTTCAACATTATATTATGACATTAATTAAATGTTTATTAGAAACCAATCTTTAGTCTACCTTGTACTCAATTAAATGTCCTTCAAGTTTCTGGGATACCAATATTTTGATTCGGTGTAGTTACCTGTTGCGGTTTGACAATGGCCTTTTTTATATCATGATCAACACAGCTCAAGCAAGCGGTAAAATATTACATGTATCTATTCTCTGACTTTGCCTTTATGCAGTCCTGTCTTTTCTGGTGATCAACAATGCCCCCATTACATATTAAGTGTACTTCTGATCCACTCAAGAAACGGAGAACCCTCACAGCCTCTGTGGCTGCTACCCAGTGCACTCTGCCAGTCGCCGATTCATTATATTGCTACTCTAGAATTGCAAAGTTTTATCTGATCTATTCAATAGCCTACATAGTTTTGAGAAATTTGAAGCAAAATTTTGTGAGTTTCACGACATGGTCAAGCCTTTTCAGAATCGTAAAAAAAATAATCTGATAACGACTCAGAATAATCTTACGATTTTGATAGAGTACATAGCACATATAATTTGGTTTCTGACCTCGAGGTTTTAGTACGATAACTAAAAACGGCGAAACATGTCTGATATAACTTTTTAATTCTAAAGTAGCGAATTAAACTGAGCCAACGCCAGCCAGATTTTCTTTCACAAATGGGGCAAAAGCTACCATTTTGACACTACACGACTGATTCTATTCGTAACCTTTAAAAACCCATTGCGTGTTTGATTTGAAGGTCACAATCGAATTCAGTTAAATTCGGTCGTTTGGGCCAAAATGATAGATTTAAATGTTACCTAACCCTCGGGAGAAAAAGGGGAAACGTGACAGCATGACCTCGACTTAATCAAGTGAATCCGATTGGCCGTGTAAATTGGGCATTAGCGCGGCGGCGACAGAGCTGCAATGTGTATTCAACCTCAAGCGACATCATCGGTGAAATGGCGAATAATGATTGTTATTTAGAAAATACTTGATCTAAGTGCTTATTATGTTTTCCTCGAGATCCAGCCCTCAAAGTTGTACCATTGACCTGTGTACGTCTGGTCACTGCTAATTTAGGTGTCGCTTCACATCCTACACAACGTTCCTACATCCAAACATTCGATGGCAACAAGGCTAGAGGGCAACCGAGAAAGACTTGGATAGATGGAGTCAGGGAAACATTAACCACCCACGGAACCCCCCTGGCCTACGCTTTCAGAAGGCCTAGCCCCTGACCCAGGCTCTCTGGCTGGCTACAGAGAGACGTCTCTTTCTTCCCGCGACACCCCAAAGGGTATAAGCGGGGGATAAAAGTAAAGTAAAGCTTCACGTTCAGGGGGG